TAGGGTGTAAACGGCTATTGTTGTTTGTGTAGTCTCGTTTAGCTTGTACGGAATAGCTTACAATTCCCTTCACTGACGTTTCTCTGAAGAACCGGCTGGCCTTTACTTTGAGAAATGAAACGATATGAAGCAGAGGGAACTATGAAATATGGTCATATAGAATATGGTCATATCACGGTTAGCTCAATGGATAGAGCGCTGGACTGTAGTGCGGGAGGTCGAGGGTTCGAGCCCCGGCCGGACCAACACTCAAGGTCTTAAAATAATTGAGAAGAATTTGCTACCTTTCTATAACATCAAGAAATGGTTAGATATTCTAGTCTTCTCGGATAGGGACGAATAAATGGAGGTCCCGTCTCCTGCAGGGTTGGGGCAGGAGACGTTAATTTCCCACACACGAGATTACTGTGTGATGGATGTCCTCCCCTGGGGTGGGATGGGTGGGTTAGGACAGCAGGTCCACATCAGCTATTACAGCTGCCAATTGATCAACCTGCTTAAACAAATAAATGAACTTCACTTCATCGATCTAACTAAAATAGGATTATGAAGGGAGGGAGTATGCATTTTTTATAGGGAAGAATCCACTATGCAAGGCTCGAATTTCGAGTCTTGATGTCTAAAAAATGGTGAAATAATGGTCGATGGTGTGTTAGAAGCTAGCCAGTGGGTTATCGGTAACGTGTCTGTGTATTGTTGGTAACGTGTCGCTTGAATGTGTTTGTGACGTATGGGTTGAGATTTTGTTAGGTGCCGGTGAAGTGTTGGGGTAATTTATTATGGATTGTCTCGGTTACGTGGCAATTACAACGTGTCGGTGATATGATATGCCAATGGATTGTCGGTTACGTGTTGGTGGATTGTCGGTATCGCGTAAGCGATTATCTTTTATCTTTAATAGTTTTGCGGTATCGAATTTATCCATCAGGCGCCCTGGCATGGGTGCTAATTGTTATCTTTTACCTTGATAGCTGTTGCTTATTCGTAGTTGGCTAGGCCGTTTTTAACAAGCCCGTACAACCAGCATAGCTATTAAAATGAAGTTTGAACGGGATATTTGAGAGTTGTTCGATACGAATAGATTCCAGTCGTGGAATTGCTGTCCCGATCATTTCATCACCAAATAGACAGAGGCCATAACGAATATATTACGCTGGCGTGTGTTGCACTCTTACAAGAGCTTATAGAGCGACTTATTTTTCATATGCATGTTTGTGATCCGCGCTTACCACGGGTTGTCTCCCTTCGTGGCTTGAACAACAAAGCACATTTGATGGACTCGAGCAGTATTTCTTTCCATCCTAATGTTAGTCTGACTTCCGGTTCTCTTTTGTGTCCAGAGTTCCGGTAATCTTTTTCCGGTTTCTAAGAATATTAGATGTTCCGAAATGAATTTTTCCTATTCTATTTTTAACCGCAATTCACGATTGGAATCCATTGATATATGTGGGAGAACGCTCGATGGCATTGATAAGGAAATAGGGTGTTTAAGTTTCCTTAGGGAACTCAACAAACGGGGCGTATCATCGACGTATCAAACTTTAGTATCTCCGGGAGTCTTTTTTCGCTCTTCTAAGAGAGAACCAAGTTTATTGACCTCATTCATAATGCGGCACATACCGGTTAGCACTTCTGTTAATTGTTAGACGTGTTTTCTCATTCTGTTCACCATAGGTGACCAGCGACAGTGCCCAGACTTCTCAATATGCGCAAGCGTCAAGCAATTCCTCCCACACCTATACGCTACTAGAAAGAAGTAAGGAGGAAGAACACGAATACGTCAATCAAATAAAGACTCCGGAATACGCGAATATGTATATGCCTCTCACGGAAGCCTGCAAACCCAACATGTCATCCGACAATTCTCGCGCGTATGCATCGCTTTTGAAGTCTGAAGGAGATGAGGACGACTGTGATTACGTTATTCAAATACAGTCTTTGAAGCCTGGTTTAATGAAAAAACAATGAAATTCAATCACCTTTGTAACTTTAGTTTCGTTTTACAGGTTCTTAGATAGTTTATCGATTTCTATGAAGAAATGAAAATCTTTGAATGGTGTTTTCGCTTCTCGAAAAACCGAACCCATATAATTTTTTGTAAAATGGTTGTGCCCTCGAGTGAACGTCGGTCGCGAAGTCTGAAAATAGCAATTTCTGTGATGTAATTCTGTGTTCAATCCATCCATTAAAATTTTGGTGCCTAGATTTTGTTCTAGTTTTCTTATTTGTCAGAGAAAGATTCTGGTCGAGACGCACTCTGAAATTATTGTGGGACTAACTGAAAATCGTTCATCTTGAAATGTAAATTCACCTATGGTCCAAAACTAACTGCTGATGCAATGATAGAGTACTTTCAGTACAAGCCTGGTTTCTTACGTGTAACTGCGTCATTTAAGTCCTGAGGTTAATAAAGAGACACACAAAGTTAACCACACCCCGTATTTAGATATCACCATAAAAAGCGAGTTAACATGCTCCCAGTATATNATCCCGTACAGGCCTGATTTTTTCAGGTCTGATTTTCGCTATTGCATAAATAGCGCTCTCTACTGCGAAGATCATGCATCCCGCCTCCCGGTTAGCTCAATGGATAGAGCGCTGGACTGTAGTGCGGGAGGTCGAGGGTTCGAGCCCCGGCCGGACCAACACTCAAGGTCTTAAAATAATTGAGAAGAATTTGCTACCTTTCTATAACATCAAGAAATGGTTAGATGTGAATTTAAACCCCCATATGCCTGATGAGGATAAAAATTTTCGTGGCTCTTTAGTTTTAAATTCTGGAATTTGATGACGTCACGCGAAAACGATATATAGACCACATTTTTCCATGTTTTGTAAGACTTGTAACGGGTCAAAGCCACGCGGTATATTGAATAAAGCTTGTGAACCACGAGCCGGGGGGAGGGGTTATGTGTTTATGGATATGTTGGCATTAAAAGCTCTTGACCGGATCCCAGTTGTTCGAAGGGTGGATAACGCTATCCAACGGATAACTTGCTATCCAGCGGATAAGTGTTGAAGAAAACTTACTGCGCTATCCACCGGATAGAGATTTATCCAGTTGATACCGTTATCCACCTTTCGAACAACCCGATCCTGTCCTTTTCTCTTTAACTGCTACGATTCACTTTTCTCCTCTTCTTTTAACCAATGTGAATGGATGGGACTACTGATGGCCACTTACTTACTATTTGTAAATGGTAGACTTTCTCATAAATCTGATCCATTAACTACGAGCTCTATAGTACACGCTTTAAAATTTACCATCGGTAGGCATGAGTGGGCACGCTGACCAACTGACCTTGAAAGATTAAAACTCGTTGTCAAAACAATTAACCCAAACACTTTAAAAAGAATGTCACAAATTATGATTAACGTACTTGATCCTTCCAATCAAACAATCAGTCTTTGACTGCCAAAGCCAAAACAAGAACTTAAGAGTGGGTCCAAGGCAAAGGAAAGTGGACAAACTACACACGTCCACTGAAGGAAGTTGATCGATACGGTGCAGCACAATCAGGAAACTCATCCTATGAGCTGAACAACTTTGAACTTTGAATTCAAATCTTAACTAGATGCTAAACATAATTAAATGAATAAAAACTTAACCCACATGCTAAATACTTTACTAAACTTATATTGTAAAAAGACGTATATGTTGTCGTTTTGTTGCTCGATCGATGCCTTCAACAGAAAATAGATCTAGTACCACCTAACCATCTTTCTCTAAAGGTGCCTGCATACATGCACGCTTTACAAGCATTCTTCTGAATGCCCAAATATTGGATAAAAAACGGTCGTCGAAGTCTTAAGTTATGCGGTTGATCCAGCTTCAAAACTCAAAGATCTGCCTCACTTCATTCCCAAACATCACTATTTTTAACGCAGTAACTAAATATTTACCGCAATCATCCAAGGACGGACTATCAAGAGAAGGAAAAATTGGAGGTTCGTGAATTTCAAGATTTTATGAGAGAACAAGAAAGATGCTTTCAGTGTAAATCACAAGCTTTGATTTTCTAACAAGTGATTTTGTCCTAAAACTGAAAGCTCTTAAAGAAAGGTTCACTTTTTTGTTCTGAATCTCGCGACATTGGCCGTGTCTCCATGACGTCATCAAGGGATTTGCACCTCACTATCTACGACAAAGGTCTANGTAAGAGTATATCCCCCTCCTCTTCTTCATCCTGCTCATCCTCGATCTCATCCTCCTCCTTCTAATTCTCATCATTCCCCTCTTCTTCTTTATATTCCTCATCCTCGACCTCATCCTCTTTCTTCTCATTCTCATCATCCCCCTCCTCTTCTCCATCCTGCTCATCCTCGATCTCATCCTCCTCCTTCTCATTCTCATCATCCTCCTCCTCTTTTTCATCCTCCTTATCCTGGACTTCCTCCTCCTTCTTCTTCTAATCATCATACTCCTCTTCGTCTTCATCCCCATCCTCCTCATCATCATCATCATTCTCTATTTAACTACTCAAAAAATGACAACATACTTAGCTTTATACGCCAAGCAAATCCTTCTTCTTCTCATGATTCTTCTCCTCTTATTCGTCGTCCTCATTCTCGACCTCATTGTTCTCCTTCTCCTCGTCCTCATACTTGTCCTCATCTTCATCCTCACCTCCTCCTCCTCATGATCGATGGGTAGAGGTCGTGGCTCAGGGACTATCCATCATTAGCCACCTCTACTTCGGCGATTAGTTGTTATATTTCCGTACTTGATTTTTGTATTTTAGAATGACTAAAGCTTTTTTTAGTAATTTTACACTATCTTCTGCTTCGTTGGGATCTTGGATTTCAGATTTTTCTGAAATTTTGTTATTTTAATTAGAACTACATTTTCCTCAATTAAGGCTACGTGGTGATTAAAGGAATGTTAGTTTAATTTTTCTGTACAGGTGGACACTCAGTGAGATTTTAATATTTATTTTTCTTTTAGCGACAAGCCTCAAGAGATTTTAACTTTGGCTCGAGACCCTATGGGTGTAACCACTCAGTTGGAAGTTTCTCAAAGTAATGAACATCGCAGCCTGGAGACGGAAGAACCTCCACAAGAGGGAGAATACGAGGACATCGAGTGGTTTCCACCTACGACGATTGTATGTTAGCTTATGTTTATCTTTTGGAATAATTATTCTAGGCGCATGATTTCAATTACGAATAATCTCATCGACCTAAGTTAAATAGTATTATGTAGGGAAGGGGTATGCACTTCCCAAAGTAAATAATACATTATACAAGGT